AGTCTTGTTTTCAAGTTTTGAGGTATACCTGACGAGAAGATGTGCCGTAATTTCCCGAACGCTGCCCAACCGAGTTGAATCCGCCGATTTACCTCTCGGTCGAAGTTGGACTTACCTAGTCGGACTATTTGTCACAGGTAAACATACTCGTCAACAAATTCGAGCTTAGTGTCCCCAACATCTACCGGCATAGGTGTGACATGGACATTAAACATGATCTTTGTTTTGGCCATGTTCATCTTAAGACCTATCCGTTGGGAAAAACTATTGAGGTCATTGAGCATAGTGCTTAGGTCCTCCAGCGATTCTGCCACTTCGGACTTCTGTACAATTTGCCGAAGGGTATATATGTGGTCTATGGTGCTAAAGCTCTTTCGGAAAATGGCTTGTTCGGGAGGCTGGAAGTCGTCAAGTCTGCGCGCGAGACGATTCGTAATGACTCTCGAAAACAGCACGTAGACGCGGCTCAGAAGGGAAATCGGTCTGTAGTTCTTCAAGATAGCGTTGTCATCTTTCTTGAAGAATAAGACCACCGCACTTCTACTCCAAGCCTCCGGTGTAGTGCCACCATGGAGGACGGAATTAAAGAGTTTCTGAAGGACTTCAAGTACCGATTTTCCACCCGCTTTCAGAAGCTCCGCTGTAATTCCATCTTTGCCTGAGGCCTTACCGTTTTTAAGGTGCTGGAGAGCCATTCTAATCTCGCTCAGACTGACGTCCGGGATATCATCGGAATAGTGTCGGATAAGACTCGCTCTTGGATCGTTACTCACACTTACCTTTGGCTCCAACGATGATGTGTACAGCTGCCCATAGAACCTCTCAATCTCACTCAAAGTCTCATGTGTCCCGGAAACGACGCTGCCACACTCGGTCTTCAGCTTCGACAGACAGACTCTTTCTGGCAGACAGATGTCTAGCAAAGACTTTGGAGCCCTGGTTCCGCTCGATCGCTTCTTTAATACGAGCAGTATTAAAGTTGCGTAAGTCCTGCCGCATGCATTTGGAGATCTGTCTGTTCAGTTGCCTGTATGCTGTCAAATCTACTGAAGACTGCAGCTTCATATCCCGTCTAACAGTCATGAGATTAAGAGTGTGATCGAAGAGTTTTTGTGTTCTTTTGCGGCGGGTCTTGCAAAACTTAGCTTCGACCGCATGGACAGTTTCCACGAGTTTGTCATGCATATCGTCCACTGTATTGCAATCTTCTAGGCACTGAAAACAAATTTTGTAGCTCGAGCTGAAAGGTTTCGGGACTTTGGATTAGAGCACGAGGGGAACGGAGCGTTGACTTCATTAGACGTGACCTCTCCAACTTAACGTTTAGGTTCAGTGTGCCTCTCACCATTCGGTGATCGCTGCCGGTATTCATCCTCGCGATCACTGAGACATCACTGAACAGTCGTCGTCTGGTCGTCATAATGAAGTCAATCTCATTTTTTGTCGAACCGTCGGGGCTCGACCAGGTCCACTTCCTGGGGCCGCTTCTGGAAGAAAGAGTTCATCATAAAGAGTCCCTCTTTCTCCATGAAGTCGGCCAGCTGCTGGCACCTTGGGTTCCGTAGCCCTATTCCGAAATTCCCTACTTTCAGCTCAACGTTATCTCTTGTGCCTAGTTTTGCGTTGAAGTCTCCCATTAACACCGTATAGTGGGTTTTGGAGGAATGCATGGCTCTAGAGATACCCTCATACATTTCCTCCACTTCCTCATCGGGGTGTGCCGAGGTTGGTGCGTAAACCTGTATGACCTTCAGCAAATACCGTTTGGTGATTCTGAATATAAGGTACGCAACCCTCGTCGACAAACTCCCAATCTTTACAACGTTGTTAACGAGAGACTTGTGGACGATAAATCCGACACCTCCTTGGGACAGATGGTCGCCCTCCCGGTGATAGAACAAATTGCCGGATTCGAGGATTGCCGTGTCCTCCCCCTCTCTTCGGACTTCGGATAATCCTATGACATTCCAGCGCAACTTGTCTATCTCTTCTTCCAGCTCCAGGATCTTATCGTCAGTCCTCAGGGTGCGTGCGTTATATGTTGCCAGGTCGAGTCGTCGTAGGTGGCAACCGAACCTCCACCGGAGATTCATAGCACCCCCTGCCTCGCCGTTACCATGGTCGCCACCGTAGCCAGGAATAGCGGATCCGCCGGGGACGGGGCCGTCTCTTCGTTTTTTTTCATGGGGGGTATATTACCATAGTTGCCACGCTTGGCGAGCGGGTTGGCAACCGCAGTTTTTCTATTGTTGTTTTGCTGTTATCAGAAAGATGCTGCTGCCCATCCTCTGCTTCAGTTTCCCTCTGTCGCCTTTTACGACACCCACGAGAAGGACTACACGGGGAGACATTTTGATTCTTAATTGAGTATAAATGTAGATGTCTATGGGCCACAGCATTCACTTACCTGATGGACTGTGTGCTTGTTTGTCACCCTTACTCTATAAAAAAAAACGTAAGAGAGCAAGACCTGTGCCCGGTCGTGCGTCTTATATAGGCTTTTCTTTTCTAATTTACTTACATATTCTTACTCTCGTACTTCGACACCAAGTATACTTTATTAACCTTTTCAATGTTGAAGGTCTAGTGTTAAGTTGCAGCATTTAGGAAAGCAAATAAGACATAATTATCCAAAGAATTTCCAACCCACTTCTTCGTTGTCTATTTTATCAGCCAACTAAGGTCCACTGTTGGTCATTCTCCTTTCCCGTTGGGAAGGTTTACTTGGCAGGCGCATTGGCGAGCTTTTTGCATATTTGGCACTGCTCTCCGCCGCCGTTTTATTTAAAGAAAATTCAGGTTAAATGACTTATAAATGCGACAATAATATTTAAAGTTTGTGTTTCACTGACCTTTATATATACCAGTTGTGTTTTCCTTTCAAATTCAAATCATCGCTAGAAAAGAGCGCTGTCAATAAAAATAAAATCTACTAACAAGTCTAAGCAGCTTGCGCATTTTGATGGTCACTGAATACCGATCCAAGCTTTAAACATAAAATTTCAATGTAGTTTTTTATGATTGTTTCCTATATAGGGTTCCGTACCCGAAGGGTAACCAGCGGGCTGTATCTCATGATCCGTAATTGGTATACAGTTGAAATTTTCACGGAATGTACTTCTGTTGCCGCTATAACAACAAATAATAAATATAAAAGTTAAAGGGCGCTCCCCTACTAGAAACGTGTTTTTTGCCTACATAGTATTAAATCTTGTACGATGGTACCCTTCATGCGCGAGTCCGACTCCCACTTGGCCGGTTTTTTGTGTAATTGCTGATAGGAGAATAGAAGGGCAGAAATGATGAAAAAGCAGTATAATCATTTTATTTAAACTTAGCGTGAGAGATGCCCTGATTGCCGACGGGAAGCAGCGTTAAAGAGTAAGTCGCGCAGTAGCTAGCATTGATTTGCGACGCTGAGGGCCCGTTACGAATCCTACACGGATCGAATGTTTGTAAGGTGTAAAAATAAGTTTTCCATGTCTGGATGTGTATACTTGTGCAATTTATGTATGTAAACTGCCTCCACAGTACAAGATATTTAACTTTTCTGTAAAATTATCGATCACATGACAATTAATAATTTGACAATTCAATTTCCTTGACTACATACCATTACTTTGTGTCTAAGATGCAATTTTAATTATGGGCATATTGGGATTGTAAGGTGCCTTGGAGTAATACCGGACGGATTTTCGAATAGTTGAAAGAGTCTGGCAAAGTGGCAAAAACTTTATTTTCTCGACATCCGTATACGTCAGATTTCTGGAACATGGCGCAAATCTTTAATTGTTAAACTTAGTTTAACTATGAGAATCTTTTGCTTTTGTAATCTCAACGGTTTCTGCTTTAAACGTGTGCTAAGTCAAGACATACTTTTTTAACTGAATTAGCTTTTATTGGCAATGTGTTATTAATTGATATGAAGAAATATTTCATAGCCTGACATTATATGATTGAGACCTTTCTCATTTTTAAATATTGTACAATTACTAATATTTTATTGTTTCAATTATTTAGCTTTATTACTGTTTTAATTTCATGATACGGGCTGCTAAAAGCTTCGATATTTTATATTTTTTAATTAAATAAATGAAATAAATAAAAAAGAAGGAAAATCTCAGAGTGGGGTAGCGTTTTTTTAAAAAAAAAACAATATTAAGATAAATTCTTATCACAACTAGAGATGTACATGTCCAGCAGCAGACTTTACGAGCTGTTCACAGTTCACTATACGGCAGAAGAGCTGTTGATATATTGATAAATAAACATGTAGACTTCCTTGTTGGTCATGTGCTTGTAGTAGTGCGACTGCTGATCATGAGACCTCGGGTTCGAATCCCGGGTCGGGTCAAAAGAATTAGTAATTGAGTTTTTCCATCAAGCAATTCTCAGTAGCTGCCCGGAGTCAGAAAGTTGGCGGTGTCTTACCCTCGTGCCTCGGAAAGCTTACGTGCTAAGCCGTTAGTCTAGCGCCTGATCTGTCTCCTCCTGTGTCGGTTTACCGTCACATCGAACTATGAGAGTGATGGATAGAGAGTGCACCTGTGCACTATAATATATACACTATACACTTGGGCACTATAATCCAGTAATTTGGTCTGGAGGACATTATTATTATTACTATATTGAATATAGCACAGTAGGAAAATTAAATCGAAAATCTCATTATTTAATCCTTTAATGTAATTATAAAAATTAATTTACCCTTAAGAGCTACAGTATATACAGCACAATTTAGGAAACGAACATAATTTATGGGGGCACATGAAACTTATCGCTCAATGAATCAGCAAAAGTGCAAAATGTGATCTTAAGCAAATTTTGCCTACGAACAAAATTACCAAGATACAAAATATTAAATTACAGATATTTAAAGTAACATTTCAGTACGGGTTACCCTTATAAGAAATATAATATTGCACTAGTCAAGTAATTAGGTACGAACACTTAATTTAGTCGATGGTTTGATTAAATAGTAACAAAAATTGCAATAAAAATCAATATAAACCAGAAGGCATATCTGTTACTTTGTGAATACCATAGCTGTTAACTGAACCAACAGGCGATAGTGTGCGTTTCAAATCTCCAAAGCTGTGGGTCCCATTCATAACAAGGCTTGTCATACTGGCAGGAGCATCGCGGAGAATATGTTGACCTGAATAAAAACCTGCGTTGCTATGCCCTCGTTTAACAATAAACGTATTGCTGAAGTTTGAAGACGGGTGGGTATCGGAAAAACAGCCTGTGTTTAGTTTCGAAAGTGGCAGGCCAAACTTCTGTTTACTCTCAGATTTCGAAATCAAATCATCTTTTTCTTTCCGGCTGGATGATTTAGAGTTATAAGTGTGGTTCGCTTTGCTGTTATATCTTAAAGGAAGCAAAGGTGATTCGTTACCCGCATCACTGTTTGTGCGTGAACACGATCTCTGTCTTCGTTCATAAGGCAACACTGGTTTATTAGATTCAGTTGTAACAACGATATCGACCATTGAATTCAATCCTTCATCAATTCTGTCCAAACTTTTTGTCAACTTTTTTGATTCTATTAGATTTACTATTTCATCCACTCTACTGCACTTTGAATTTGTTCTTTGCAAAGATGTGTGTTCCACAATCGAGGGTTGTGTTTCATTGTAAAACATACTGTCAATATATTCACGTTGACGTGAGCTTTTTTCAGAGGTCTGAAATGATTCACTTCGTTTTACAGATGTCTTTCTGCATTCTTCTCTTGAATGTGTTCTAGAACGTTTAATTCTGTTATCTTCTACGTCTTGTTCTGCTGTTGAATTAAATATTGCTCGACATTCACCAAAATCGAAGCTTGAAACGGAGGCTTTTTTGTTCACAATATTTTGACAGCGCGATGCACTAAGCAATGAGTCAGAGCCATCGTCACTTGAAAAATAGTTGTCTTCAAATAAATTTGGAGGTTTATTGTAAAGCATTCCATGTTCAACCGGTGGGACAAACAAATGAACTAAGCTTTTTGCTTTTCTCGGTGGATGAGGCAATATTTTACTTGGAACAATTTCAGCTTCTTCTTCGTCATCATTTTCATTTAAGAATTCCGTACTGCTAGTTATCTGAATGCTGTGTCTTGTACTAGTAATCGAATCTTCTTTTTCAACACTTCTACGATTTTGGAATTCTTTGACATGAACTGAAACATTAATTTCGGAGGAATCATTGCACCTTGACGATTTGTCATCACAGAATGAAGCTCGATCTTTAACATACTGTTCTGATTCAGCATGGTTTGCAATATTTCTTAATTCTTGAATAACTTCGTCTATTGTGGTCTCATCGTCGTCATCCGAAGATTTTTTGTGGTCGTTGGCTTTTTTTGAGCTTTCTAACTTTTTATGTAGCGGTCGTTTATTTCGCAACAGATCGTACGTTTCGTTTTTAATGTTAAATACTTCATACACCATGGATTCTCTTTGAGGATCAGCTTCAGGGCTAAGGGAACGCTCTGATGAACTAATGCCTTCATCTTCTGGAGGTGATGACTCATCTGGAAATAATTTTATATTTAATAGTTGTCATTGCACAGTAGCCGTAGCAAATCACAACAAGCCACGCAGAAAGTCAAGCGGAAAAAAGTAATTTTTGTATAAGAAAATTGTCTGATTAATTGGATTCTAACTGGAAAATTGATTTATATATATGAAACCTTCTACAGATGCTGATGAAAAGTTCTTTGAAAAAATTCTATAATAAAATCTTTAACCAGACCTTTTCGTTTCGCAAACTTTCTGTGTCATCCATGGATATTTAAAAAGAAATATTACCTCTATTGTTGTGAATTGAATTTTTTTTCTTGTTTACAAACGTCTTTTTTCGACTTGAATGACCGTTCTCAGATCTTAGTGTTGTGACTTCTTCTTGTAGTTCACAACACTTTTCTTTTAAACATTTCTCTAAAGACAAAAGGATGCCTTTCTCTTCTTGTAGAATCTGTAAATAATTTTAATATGTAATCATTTTATTTTAACGTCAGTTCTATAGTCGGCTCATGAAGCAAGCACTTTTGTTTTTAAAGTTTTAGCTTGACCTTGAGCTTAAAATAAAAGCGATGTTTGTTTGTATTAATTATGTATGTTTTAATCACGATTTGATGCTTTTAAAGGCAGATTTAAAAAAAATTAAGTGACAAACAAACTTGCAGTCTACCTGATGCAGTGGCGGATTTACATATTTACCGCCTGTAGGATATTCAAATACCACACACATTCGATACTCTAGTTCACAATACAGTGAAAAATATAAAATATTAAAAAAAACTATGATCAAAAAGAAAAAAAAAACTAAAACTAATGACTTATATTATCATACAGTCCTACCCTCCAGGGTATCGTGTCATGAACGCTAACTGCGTTTCCTCGCTGAAGGCCTATACTAGGCCTTTGAGCGAGAATATAACCAGCTCTCTTATCACCAGTAGTGACGACCAGCTGCGGTTAGAGTTTCTCTAGGAATTTCTTCGCACGTGGACCCCACGGACCGATTTTACAACATCACAATCAAATTTATTTAAAAAAAGAAGTCAATGAAATTATAACCTTATGATATGTGCACTATCGTCCTAATTACACCATCTATTTTCTTGATTAGTATGATTGTGAACTAATACATCGATCTAGGGGATCGATGTATTAGTTCCTAGATTATTTTAACAACCATACGATTTATTTAATATTGTACAAGAAATAGTTTCTTGGGTATATTTCTCAGCTAATAAAAACTCAATCATGTACTACTAATAAGGCGGTGTAAGGGTAAAATTATTTCTATTCTATTATTATATTCTATTATTTATTCTTTTAATTATTTATTTTTATTTAACTTTTCTTTTTTATTATAATTAATTATTAACAATTGGCTATGTTATCACCTAATTATATTAATTATGTAATATGATCTTTGTTGGTCGAAATAAAGATATTTTATTATTAATATTATATTATATACACAATAATGTGTATTCAGTAAACGTAATTAAATCATTGTTATAGCCCTTACTTACACTTTGAAAACGATAATTTCAATTATCTGATAACTTTTAACTTTAAAAATTAACTGGTAATCAGTTTTAATTTCTGTAAGATAAAAAAAATGGTCCCAAATTTGCCGACACTAAAATCTGCCGCCCTAATCTGTAGCCTACTCAGCCTGCTGGTAAATCCGTCACTGACCTGATGGTAAGTGACTACTGCCACTTGATACCTACTACAGATACCTGCAGTTAACTTCAATTATAGAAGGCTGCAAATGCATTTTCACCTCTGAGGACTAAAATGGAATGTCTAACAGTCAGTTACCGGAACACAGCGGTGCACGCACTACTATTTGGCGACAAAAATATTAAAAGTGTGACACCTACTCAGACAGACTTCTAGGCAGATAAGAAGCCTTGTAAAAAAGTAATCCTAGCAGCTAGTACTATAAATAAAAAATAGTAATTAAAGCATGTAAAATGTTTTTTACCTTTACGCGTTTCTCAAGTAACTCTAGTTTATATTTTAGGTCGTCCTTTTCTTTTTGGGCTTCATTAGCTTTCTCACTTAGTGTGTCAATATCAATTAATTGTTTTTCATAATTTTCTATTTCCCTTGCGACGTTTTCATTTGTGTTTGGTAGTTTAGTGTTTATCTGTAAAACATTCATTTATTAATTCAATTATTGTTTTTTAAGTTTAGATCTGTTAAGTTTGTGCAAAATAAGTACAATACCATAAAAATTAAGAGAGTATTTGCTTTATATATATATTTCAAAAAGAGCAATATTTTTGAGCTGCTTTTAATGTAATCCTGGTCGATGTGAGTCTCAACGGAGATTGACCATCTGCGCAGGACAGGAATGTAGTGCACGAGTGTATGCGCAAGCACTAGTGCAGTCTCTGTTCCCCTATTCTTATGGTCCGTTGGGACGGAAACCCGATATGACTGGAGAGAGATCAGGCGTAGGAACAAAGGCGTTACGTGCTTTCCTTGGCACGGCGGTAAAACACCGTCAAATTCTTTAATCCAGCTTGCTACTGCGAATTTATTAACTGAAAACTCAATAGCTGATTTTATTTTGGCGCGAACCGGGATTCGAACCCGGGCCCTCACGTTCAAAAGCCACGTTTACAACCACTAGACAAATGAGGTAGTCAAGGCGGATTTTATCATATCTCGAGGAAAGACAGCTCTATTAGTGGAAATATATGTTTGATTTATTTACTGATATGTAAACTTTTTCCGTAGCATTAACTTAATGCGTAGGACAGAAATCTACTGATGATTAGGGTAAACGTTAGTAATTTATTCGTGATCGTTTTTTACTAATTTTCTACCGACTTCAAAAAGGAGTTGGTACTCAATTCAACTGTATGTTTTTTTTATGTGTGTTACCTCATAACTTTTTACTGGGTGAACCGATTTCAATGATTATTTTCTACCGACTTCAAAAAGGAGCCGGTACTCAATTCGACTGTATGTTTTTTTTATGAGTCATAACTTATTAACTTCTTACTGGGTGAACCGATTTCGATAACTCTTTTTTTATTTGAAAGCTGGTGCTTCCCATGTGGTCGCATATAAATTTGATCATGGTTTGACCAACAGTTTTTGAGTTATTCTTAATAATTTATATTGAAGTCGGTTGTACAAAATTTTAAATTTTAAATTATATCATTTGAAAGCTGCGACTTCAAATGTAGTCCCATATAAATTTGACCAATAGTTTATGAATTATTCTTAATAATTTATATTGAAGTCGGTTGTACAAAATTTTTAATTTTTAATTATCATCAGCTATCATTGTGTATCCATACACTGGTAGTGGCGGGGTTCTCTAATAAATAGCACTACTTAATATCATCCCACGGGTATCGTAAGAGACCACAAAGGGAAACTGAAACAGATGGGCAGCAGCATCTTCTTGATAACCACTGAAAGTAAACGAAAATTGCAGTTTCTAACCCGCCTGCCAAGCGTCATAACTACGGCAAAATTCCCCCTACGAGAAAATCTGCGGCCAGTCCTAGGTTCAACAGTACATTTTTTATAAGCTATAATAATGATGACGATGATTATGTATCCACTGTTGAATATAGGTCTCAAAAATGCGTTAAATAATTTTCCAATATTCGGCGCATTGGACAGAAAGGTGAGCACCGAGTCAATACTCTCGAACTGGTTATGCTTCCTTAATCCCCAGCATGTCAGTATTGGAATTTGATTTTATTGGGACGGGTTTTTAATGAGCAGTCGGTCGATGAGCCAGAGATGAGGGTACTTGAAGAAGAAGTTCATACAACGAACATTTTTATATAATTTTTTTTAGCAATACCTTTTTTAAGGTGATTATATCAAATCCAGCTTGCTCTAGTTCAGCCTGTATGTAAAGTTTTCTTTGAGGAGTGGGAGCACTAGCTAGTAAAGCGTTGATGAAAGCCAGCCCAGCTGCTTGCAAGTCTCCAGAGCCTCCAGCACTTTGTAGCATGCCAACGAGAAATCTAAAGCGAACCGGTTCTCCATATCGAAGGCGCAGTGTTGAAAGTGCTTCTGATATCATGCTGTGTCCGTTTGCTGGTGGGTAGCAGCCTTTCGTAAGGAGCTGAAATAGATATAAAAGCATTTATTGGTAAAAGTAGTTACTAGGTATTTTCTACGTAGTAGAGTCACGCAGCTATATTTTAGTTTAGCACGAATGGTTCTGTGCCGGAAAAGGATCTTGCTTGCACAGAATACCAGCTTAAACAGCAGGTTAATACTGCTGCGTTACGCAAGTTGGGTGTATAGAACCATAGACCCTTTTAAATTGTTATGAGACATTCTATCTTATTCCCCTAGGATGACAACGCATTCACATTTTGATCCTAAATCGAGGGTATAAATGTAGGTCTACGGGCCCAAGCGCTTACCTTAACATCAGGTAAGCAGTCTGTTTGTTTGTTGTTTCCATAATATGAAAAGTAATAAAAAAACTCATAAAATAAATATTCTACTCCATTATAAAGAATTCCTTTATTATAAATAATCAGCAAACGGAAAATGTTCGCCACTCTGCATCAGTGTGAGATGATTGCCTTCATTTGATACTCTCGATATTTTGTTGTCCTCGGGTTTGCATGATTTTTCATTAATGGCGCGGAACATGATAAATTAACACGTTTATTTGCATTTTTGTTGGCACCATTGATAGAACTTAAGGCGTTTCCCTGACCAAATAACCGTGTGCATGCCGCCCCCGCACTCTGCGTACGCCCATTTATCATAGAATTCAAAAAAAAATTGGAATTAATTTTAATTACAAAAAAAGTGAACTTTATAAATTAAATAAAACGTGAATAACACAGATTGTTAAATTATCTATCCATTAGTGTAATCCTCAAATGATTAGAGTGTTGCCTTTAGTAACAGATGCATGTAATCAATATAATTTTAGTCATTTTTAAAAGAAGATTTTAAATGTATTTATAACACATAAAATTTAATTAGAATATAGATTGTGATGATAGGATATTCAACATTAATAATTTGCTTTTAGATGCAGTATATTTCTCATAACGAATGAGATAATAGTCTCTAAATAACGAAGAAAAACGCACTATCGCAAGGTTTTGGTCGGGGTATCGCCTTAAGGGGCATACGTGGTATACAGTGAAAGCAAAGCAAATAAACAAACGCCACGCTCCTGAGGTACCTACTACATTATGAGTCTATGTTAGTATATAATATATTATTTTATTGTAAACGTCTTCCGTAGTTCGTCGCGTACCTTTTTAGAAGTCTTTTGCAAATGTGTATTATATAAAAAAGGTGAATTTTAAATGCAGTATTTTCAATTTTTAATAAACTGTCGAGAACTGATATATCTATAAAAATCAGCAGCTGTAAATACATGTCGGTTATATGATGCTGAATGTGGAACATTTGTTTTCATCCACACCAACTGATCCTCGAATGGTTTAGGTATTTAATGTTTTCATTTGTCTGTTAGTCATAGATTTCCCTAACAATTAGATTGATTTTATTATTTAGATTGGCTTTATTATTTTATATTCCTAAGTGATCTTGAGAACAGTGGTAGAGTCACGCGGCAGCTTTTGCTGTCGCACGGATGGGCCGGCTCGAACCGGGGTGGTACCACGACCTCACAGAAAACCAGCGTGAAGTAGCGGTTTACCTCTGCGTTTCGCTTGGTGAGTGCAGGTGGCCGGAGGCCCTTTTTACTGGAAATGAGGCATTCCATCTCAGTCCTCACGGGTAACAACGCATCTACATTTTGATTTGTAATAGAGGATAGATGTAGATGTCTATGGGCCGCAGCAACCACTTACTATCAGGTGGACTGTGTGCTCGTTTGTCACCTATAAAAAAATCTTTGTATTAAACTTTTCGTAACTTTGACGCTTGCTTATAATTTTAGTTCCGAAAATATTTCGAAGACATGTGATTTCTTTGCCCTAAAACTCTCCCAGAAATGAGAGGAGGCCTGTGCTCAGCAGTGGGACGTATATAGGCTGTAACTTTAACTTTTACATATGAGTTCAAGTTTTTTTCTGTCATTGTCCATAACAACTTTTTCGAAGCACAATGGAGGAGATAAGTGACTGTTATTCTTACGCAGTCTCTTACCGTGTAATATAGAGAATAACTATATTTGAAAGTTACTTTTTAATTTATGAATTTCTTACCTGTAGCGCAAGCACTCTTGTCTTGTTAACTGTTGACATTATGCACACAGTGAGAGCGTATACCCCATTGGAGCATGCTACCAACCTCCTTACACAATCGGAATATCTGGTGCAACAGCTCCATAGACATTGCCTAGAATATACGTGATTTAAAAAAATATATTAATAAAAACAATATCAACACGAGGGTTCAATAAACATATATTGTCGAAGGGGACTATTATGAAAAAAAAAAACATTGTTTAAAATTATAAGTTTGCTCAACGAATCTCTAGCTTTCTTTCTACGCAGTTGTCAATGGGCTGCAATAGCCCCATACCTTCAGGAGGATTAAGTAAGTTCGTTTGTTAATTCAGTTTTATTAAAAATACCTTTGTAATTATTAGGCCTTCAGTCTGGGGGGATTGACCCTAATCGTTACACTTTGAAGGCAGATCGAATATCGCAAAATCAAAAATGTATATCACCTTCGATGCTGCTCCTAGTCGTAGCTCTGGTCTGTGTATTTATTTTTAATAAATAAAATGCTAGACGGTTATACCACCATATATATTTTTTTGTTCGTATCTTTAAATACCCACAAGAAGAGATGTGGTTCTCTTAAGCTACCACGAAATGGCGAAGAAAGAAGTATTCAGGAAATATTTCAACATTTTCCCTCCTCTACCGTTCTCGACTAAAACTGGCTAAGTTAATATTAAGACACACAACGCACTGCAGACTTTCTATCGGCCGAGATTTTAGTCGGGTTGGGCTGCTAGGTGCGCACACTGAGCCAATTAATCAGTTGGCTAATGTGAGTGCGCACACTAGCTAACAGTCTGCCAATCGTTTGCGAAAAAATTGTAGTTAGTAAGCAACTCTTGAAGTGAGAATGAATAGAAACCGAGAACACTGGGTGCATCCTATATACAGTGACAGATTATTTCCTCCCCCAGCTTTTTTTTTAATAAACATCATATTTCAACTTCCTCTGTCAACTGTAAAATGGGTGATTCGACAAGCAGCGCCATTTTGATTTATGCACACTTCTTTTCCGCGCGAAAATATTGAGCGAAGTGACGTTATCGACCGCATAGATAATACACATCGACCGAGTCGGCCGACTAAACAAGCGACGTGGATGCGCGCGTCGAAGAGCGCCGTATGATTTAGCAGTTGGCCGAAAGTTGAACAACAATTTAGTTTGAAGGGAATCGTGTAGCCCATCAAACTGATTTATCGGCCGATAATTAATCGTTATAATATGCGCACTTGCATACATTTCAATACTGATTTAGAAACCGACTATTTAAACTCTCGTCCGATAGAAAGTCGGTAGTGTGCGGAGTCTCTAAGATATAATGTCTTATAGTTTTTTTTTTAATCTGTATCAAATCAGGTTCACTATAATATACCGTAATTTATTTCGATATTTAAATAAAATTTAATTATAATGGATTATAAATCTCAACGAAATTAAGTCGGTGTCAGCCGACAAACTTTCTAATGAGGCACATGGATTTTCTTTTTGAGAGACTATATTAATAAAATGAAGTTTATAAAAGTTTTCACCGTACTACTCTAGTGCGTATGGATATACATAATAATATGTAATTATCAATATTAGTAAGTTCATTGCAGCAATAAAAGAAAAGAAACTAGACCTTCATACTAACAACTCTGGCACCCCTATCGAGTGACTAATTGACTAAGATGACATGCGAGAATTGTAAAAGTTGAGGGTGCCCAAACAGCATCTGATAAGCATGCTAATGTTTTAAATTAAGTCAAAGTTTACGCGTCTTTGAGCTGGTTTTTTTAGTTTATCACCGAGCTGATAGTATAAAATTATCAAGCAATATATGTTATATCAGATATACTAACAGACAAGACAATTCATCCAATAGCGGCCTTCTCCTCACAGCTGGAGGACCCCGAGCACCTTCTCCTGTCTGACTTAATTGCACGTTACGTAACAATTCCAGTAGTAAAGTGACGCCATCTAGCGGCTCACAAGCGAACTCTTGCACGAAACTGAAAAAAAAATTAAAATAAATAACTTGCACATGAAAATTGAACCAGCAGACCGCAATTAACATAATATATTTAAAATGACTTCGCAGAACATTCACAAGTTGCAACCACAAATACAAAATCTTTTTAACTCGCAGCTTAACGGTAGCAGTTTATGTGCATAATGATAGTGTTTGGTATAATGTAAGGACAAAGAAAAATGACTGTCTCCAATTACTAGACGGATGCGTGGGATGCGCCCAAGTAATTCGAAATAGAAAAATGTTTTGAGAGTGGTCTCAGGCATGGGATATAGCGTTCACAGTAATAAGATAGTAGGTTTCATTCTATAACTATTGTATGTAATGTACTTGTAAATGTACAATTAACCCGCTCCGGTTTCGCATGGATAGGACATATTTATGTGGCGTTGTTAAGTCTTAAGATAATCAAACACCATTTTATTTTATAAATTTACAGCACAACACAGCTTTTTAAAGTCCACTGCTAAACATAAGCTTGGCAAGCGGGTGGGCAAGCGCAGTTTTTTATTTTTAGTCGTTATTAGGATAACGCTGCTGCCCATTTCCTGGTTTGTTTCCCTCTATTGCCTTTTACCACACCCACGTGATGATAAGGGGTAGTTCTTGAGACATTCTTCGTCTTAATAGCATACAAATAACCCAGAGCCTAAAAGAAGTCAGTTGTTTCAATGTTATAGGCAATCACTTCAATTTTAATCATATATATGCATATATTAAAATACTAGGCTATTGATATGAAATAGGGAACCAGTTGATGTAATTCTGAAGCTAATAAAAAAAATACCAGATATCGATATGTCAATTTTTTACGGGAGTTATCGTGCCACATACAAAATCAATATTTCTTTTATTCAACATTCTTTAATTTTCAAATTAAGTCGACAATTACTAAAATATGACGAAGTAAATAATGCTATATCTAAATTAGTAAATTGGTTCGATGTTAATAATTTGCATTTAAATGGCACTAAAACTAAATGTATGAAATTCGTGACTCCAAATGTCAAACAATTAAATACTAATGTAATTTTAAATGGGGAGAAACTGAGTCTTGTAGATACCACCATTTTTCTTGGAATCACACTAGACGCGAAGCTTCAATGGAGCCCCCATATATCAAAGCTAGCAAGCAGACTTAGTTCTGCAGCATATGCTGTAAAAAAGATTAGAAGTCTAACCAGTGTTGAAACAGCTAGATTAGTTTACTTTAGCTATTTCCATAGCATAATGTCGTATGGTATTTTGCTATGGGGACACGCAGCTGACACTGAAATTATATTTGTTTTACAGAAGAGGGCCATAAGAGCAATTTATGATTTAAAGCCTAAAGAGTCGCTGCGACAAAAATTTAAGGAAATTAATGTATTAACTTTGGCCTCTCAATACATTTATGAAAATGTAATGTACGTACACAAAAATAAAAGTAGTTTTACAAAAATAAGTGATATTCATTCTGTAAATACTAGGAACAGACACAAGCTAGTAGTACCAGTTACTCGACTCCATCGAGTCAGTAATTCATTCTTGGGGCGATGTATACGCTTTTACAACAAAATTCCAGAAAATATACAAAGTTTGATCTGCTCAAAGTTCAAAAACTTTATTAAACTAAGTTTGTATAAAAAGGGTTATTATAATATTAAGGAATTTATGGATGATAATAACCCCTGGAAATGAGGTGATCGCTACCAAGCTATTTCTAATTTGTTGTGTTGTTAATTTGTGTTACATCATGATTGTAAGCTGTTATTTAAAAAAAAAGTCTCGCTGGGTTTCTTGCTGGTTCTTCCCAGGACAGAGGTTTTTTCTGAACCAGTGATAATCAAACAAAAGAGTGACTTTCAATAAGTATTATTTATAATCTATATTGAATAAAAAAGTTGCTGTTTCTGTTTCTGTTTCTGTTTCCAGACGTCCACGTAAAATTTTTTCAAAGTAGCAATATAAAATATTTTTTAGAAAATATACGATGGATTAATGAGGGTGTTTTCTTGATATACGGCTACTCATATTATAGTGTAAGTGCAATATGGTATACAGTTAACAGTATAGGTAGACAATAAATCATAGTCGATTATTTTATTTTAACAATGTTATGTTTATGTTTCGGAGCTGAGAGAAGTTTTAGTGATATTAGTTCGAACCGTTCGAGTTCGAGGTTTGTTGGTCAGGGACTAAAAAGTCTTTATTCAAGTAGGATATTATATAATTTTATCGAACTTCATTCATGGACGCCGAGGGGCTCTTTGAGCTTGAGGGCACTACATCGCCTAGCCCCACGGTAGCTACGCCACCAGCTCCAGCGTCCACAAATGTAACGTACGTTTCACTTACCTTGGAAAAGAAAGTCTTAAATCGGCTCTCAGTTTAATCAACAGTTCGCTGGGCGTACCAAACTGCCTCAAGCTCATTTCTTCTCCAATACCCAAGCATGGATTTCTGTGTAGTAAAATAAAAAGGTATTATAATAATATCAATAATAATTTATTTTCAAGAAAAATGTAAACAGTTATAGATTTTTTCTTTAACTATTATAAACCAGTGATTTTTTTGTTTTTAATAGAATAAGGGTGTAAAACGAGCATACAGTCCACTTAATGGTAAGTGGATGTTGTGGCCCAGAGACATCAACATTTTTTTTTTTTTTTTTTTATAGGAGAGGGGGCAAACGAGCATGCGGCTCACCTGATGGTAAGTGACTACCGCCGCCCATGAACAACCGCAACACCAGGGGAATTGCAGATGCGTTGCCGGCCTTTTAAAAAGGAGTAGGCTCTTTTCTTGAAGGTCCCTAAGTCGTATCGGTCCGGAAAAATCGCTGGTGGTAAACTATTCCACAAGGAAGTTGTGCGAGGAAGAAAACATCTTCTAAATCGCACAGTGGTGGACCGCCAATCATCCAGATGGTGTGGATGGTATCGGGAGTTCTGCCGCGATGTGCGTTCGTGAAATTTGGCGGCTGGGATTAATCCGAACAATTCCTCAGAGCACTCCCCATGGTAAATGCGAAAGAAAATGCTAAGAGATGCAACATCTCTTCGCAGTGCCAATGAGTCGAGCCGATCGGAAAGGACTCGGTCGTCGACGATTCGAGCCACTCTGCGCTGGATGCGGTCAAGTGGAAGAAGCTGGCACTGGGGAGCCCCAGCCCAGAGATGGGAACAGTATTCCATGTGAGGCCGAACCTGCGCCTTGTAAAGTTGCAGGCGTTGAGCCGGCATGAAATACTGTCCCGCTCTGCTGAGCACGCCAAGCTTTTTAGAGGCCAATTTGGCCTTCTCTTCCAAGTGACCACGAAACTGCACGCTACTCGATATGTCGACGCCGAGGATTCCGATACTGGCTGAGGCAACAAGGGGAGTACCTTGAAACTGAGGAGATACGACAAAGGGGTTCTTTTTAGCGGTAAACGCGCAAACTTGTGTCTTCTGAAGATTAAACTGGACTAGATTTAGTCGCCCCCAATCCGAGACTTTGTCCAGCAAAGACTCGACTTCAGACACAAGTTTGTTCCGGTACTCGGTGACGTTTTCCCGAGAAATATTGGCACGGCCGGTGTATAGAGCATCACCAGTGCTGTCATCTGCATAGCAATGAATGCTACCAGCTTGCAACATATCGTTGATATGCAGAAGAAACAGCGTTGGTGATAGCACGCAGCCTTGTGGAACACCAGCGTTAATAGGCTTGTAGTCGGAGCATGCACCGTCTACAACGACCTTGATGCTCCGATCTGCAAGAAAGCTGGTGATCCAATTGCATAATTTCTCGGGAAGCCCATAGGAAGGGAGCTTCGAAAGAAGCGCTTTGTGCCAAACCCGATCGAAGGCCTTCGCAATGTCCAAACTAACGGCCAATGCCTCCCCCTTGGACTCTACTGCCAACGCCCATCTATGAGTTAAGTAGACCAGAAGATCACCAGCTGATCGACCCCGACGAAAACCGTACTGGCGGTCACTAATCAGCTGGTGATCCTCAAGGTACCGCATGAGGTGGCAGTTTACAACGTATTCCATTATTTTGGAGAACAAGGGGGTGATGGCGATAGGCCTGTAGTTGGACGGATCTGAGCGGTCGCCTTTTTTAGGGATCGGGTGGACAAAAGCTGTCTTCCATGATTTCGGGACTACGCCTAGGGAGTAAGAGTACCGGAAAAGACGCGTTAGAACCGGTGCCAACTCCGGAGCACACGTCCTCAGCACAATTGGGGGGATTCCGTCAGGCCCACTCGACTTGTGGATGTCAAGGGAGAGGAGTGCTCTGCGAACCGAGCGCTGTGAGAATCGCACATCCGGCATGGAGCACTCACACCGCGGGATGGTCGGCGGTGTGTTCCCCCCGTCATCAACAGTCGAGTTGGACGCAAAAAGGGAGCCTAAAAGGTCGGCCTTCTCTTTTGCGTCGTGGGCCAGTGAGTCGTCCTCCCTGTGCAGAGATGGTAGTGATGGCTTACAGAAATTCCCTTGGACAGCCTTGGCGAGAGACCAGAATGCACGGGTTCCCGAAGGAAGGCGAACTAGTTTCTCGCCAATTCTGCCTATGTGCTCTGACTTTGCCTTGGCAATAACTCTTTTGAAGGACCTGGAGGCGAAGTTATACTTCTTTTTGAGTGTGCTGGTGTTTACATCCCGAGTCACCGAAGCCGCAGCCCAGGCTTGATAACACTCCTGCTTACTGCGTAATGCAGTCTTACAGGAGCGACCAAACCAAGGCTGAGATCTGCCTCCGATGGGTACCACAGATGATGGAATAAATAGTTCCATTCCCTGTAGCACTACATCAGTGACAGAGTCAGCAACAGCGCTGGGATCATCCGGCGAGAAGCAAACCCGCCCCCATGGGTAGGAAGCAAAGAAAGACCGCATTCCGTCCCAATCCGCCGACCTGTAATGCCAAACACGGCGGCAACCTGCAGAACGCAACCGCGAGGGGAGCGTGAGTGGCACCACACTCCGGATCAGACAATGGTCCGAAGAGCCAAGAGGGGCATCGACGGAAACCTGATATCCGTCCGGATGAGAGGTCAGCAGAAGGTCCAACAGGGAAGGTGTATGATCCTCAACATCTGGAATCCGCGTAGGCGATGTAACCAGTTGTGTCAGACCATATGCCAAGGCAAAGTCATGAACAGATCTCCCCGCATGATCGGTTAAACGTGAACCGAGCCATTCGGCGTGGTGGGCGTTAAAATCGCCAAGGATCACGATCTCTGCGGATGGGACCTGTTGTAGCAAGGAATCTGTAGCCATTTGGACGTGGTCGATGAGTCGGTCTATTTCGGCATTACCGCTATGGGACCTATAGAGGCACACGTAGACGCGCGGATGGTCGTCGCTGTCTACGCGTAGCCAAAGGATGGACAGGTCCGAACCTTCAAGACTGCCGAGGCGTCGAGAACAGATGTCCTCTCTGACATACACGCAAACTCCAGCCCGAGGCACAAAGGAGTGCTCCAATTTGTACCCCGGGTAGAAGAGATACGAAGTATCAGCCGGAGAGGACACCTGCGTCTCGGTCAGAAAGAGCAAGGCCGGCTTCGCCGTCTCAAGATGGTAGTGGACGGCGTTTAGGTTCGAGTGAAGTCCCCTGATGTTGCAGAAATTCACGGATAACGTGGCAGGGGTCGCCTTGGTCTTGTTGCTCAGTTTGCCCCGAGCAGTTATTGTGTTGAGCGGAATTTTGCCCCCCCCAGAATACGCGGGGCAGCCTGAGCACCCACGCTCAGGAGTGGAATAGCATGGTCGTGGATGCTCAGCGAGGGATTCTCCAGGGGTACTGGTACCCTCCTGGGGTAGTTTTTGACGTAATTCCGCTACCATGTTGATGGGGGGGGGGGGGAATTGGGCATCCGGTCACCTGCACTCACCAGACGAAACGCGGAAGCAGAGCTTCCACTTCACGCCGGTATTCTGTGAGGTCGTGGTACTAACCCGGCTCGAGCCGGCCCATACGTGCAACAGCAAAAGCTGCTGCAAGGCTCTACCACCGTTAACATTCTCCTCCATTAAGAATCAAAATGCAGATGCGTTGTCATCCGTGAGGACTAAGGAGGAATGGCAGCAGGCAAGTCGTATAATAAAGCGATCATCGATCTGCCTGCCTAGTCTAACGGTTAAGGCAAATTCTCCCTATAAAGGCAAGGGTTCATAACTTTTACGGACTAATGAAAGAGAATAGCTGCCTAAGTACGAGGTCTCCACACCAGCTTAGACACGGGTAACAAAATTCCTTGCGTTAACTCAATAACACAGACGCAGTTTACTGCGTCGGCTCATTGCGTTAACTCAAACTTGAGCCACGGCGCAACAAAATGGAACGCAGCGAAACGCGCGCCATCTGCACGCCGCGCAAACTGCGTTGGCTCATTGTACTCTTGGCGCTCAGCGAGTGAGTGAGAGAGATAATGAATAAGATGATTGTTTTTTTTCTTTATTCACTCCTCTGCATGCATACGGCGCAGTGTCACCTATGTCTACACCAGCTTAATGTCAGGCTCGGCTCAAATGCTGGTTTCATCTGGAACTTACGTATATAAAACTTCTATTAAGCCTAAGAGAATTAGTTACTAAGTAGTAGAGGCAAAGACTCAACCAGCCGGCATTCCTTGCGCGACGCCGACATTACGGTAACGAAAATTGTTTACGCGCTTGCTGTAATTGCATTTCGAATGACTCACATTCTTTTGCTAGAAAAATAATACCAACACAAACGGCCTGCCTCTTATTTTTAAACAGTAAGGATGATTATGTGCTGTGGTAGCTCAGTGGCTACGCGGTCGCCGCAAGTGAGACGCCCGGGTTCGATGAAATTGAAATTTGCAGTTTTAAGTGCTGATTAACTACGTGCTTGGCAGCGAAGAAAAACATCGTGAGCAAACCTACATGTTTGTGGAATGGAATATCTTTGTGGACCTTCTGTGGACCTTCATATGCATTTAGTAAAAAGCTGTTATTTTGACATTACAAACAGACAATTTATTTATTTGTATAGTATATAACATCAAATACTCATTAACGTATATAGGAACCTCTCCGCACCACTCTATAACGTATATAGAGTGGTGAAGAGATGAAAGAGGCAGGTGTGAAAAGAAGTACCCGAAGTAAAATAAATAGGGTATGTATAACAAAACGCAGAAGGTTATCAGTAGAAGAGACTACTCTATCATGGTTGGAGCTAAGATACTGAAAATTACGAGTTAAATAAGATGGAGGCTGAGGAGACATCAGGATGGAATAAAGAATAGTGAGTGGAAGTACACCAAGGCAATGAGTAGACACATGATCATACTTTCAAAAGATTAAAAATAAATCGGATGCAGTTATTTTTTAGAGCCATACTGCAACTATATTAATTGTATAGTTGTAGCACGAATGGGTCGGCTCAATCGTTGTAGGACCACGCTCTCACAGAATAGCAGCTTAATGCTGCTGTGTTTCGTATGGTGAGTGTTGAGAACCGAAGACCCATTTTACTGGAAAAGAGGCACTCCATCTTAGTCCCCACGGCTGACATCGCATTTTCTACATTTTAAAAGAGCAAAAGAGATATAGATGTAGACGTCTTTGGGCCAAAGCGACCACTTACCATCAGGTAGGCTGTGTGCTCGTTTGTCACCCTTATTCTACATAAAAAGGAGGGACGAATTATTACTAATTAAAAATGTCTAACGTTCTTGTTACTTGGCATACAAAATACTACAGCAAAACGTTCTTATAAGATAAGTTCTGTGGCGGCGCTGTCGTCGCGCCACAAGCGAAACACATTGAAACCTAAATGGCACTTTAAAAGTTTCGAAGTAAAAGCAACATATATAGAATACGAGTAGCTCTGAACTACCACTCCTGCGCCCCCTTTCCCTAAAGGGGGTCGCTTCCGATTCGGCAGAAAGGCCATACAGGCCAAAGCCAGTCCCACAGGTGGTGTTTATTGGGTAAGCACTTTTTAGTGAGTCCCACATAATCACGCAGCCGGCTGCGTGGTATGCTATGAGCATTGACCACCTCCCTCCCCCGTTTCCGGAGGGTATCTTTGCTATAGGCGCAAAATAAAGCTACCACTCGGAGTGTCGGCCGCTCTACGGGCCGATCACCTTGCCCGGCGGAAGATCTCCCCTTTTCCTTCCACGGCCACAGTTCCAAGAGGAAGTAACAAATGATAGATGTCCTCCATCCTAACCATGTACTTGTTGTACTTCGCGCTAAGTATCATTTGTAGAGTTTTCTTGTAGGGGTTAAGGAATACCGATATTGTGAATATAACTAAGTAAATACAGTTAAAAATACCTGAAGTCTTTATTGCTCTGGTTAGGCAATGTTCTGGATTTATTTGGATCTTGCCCTGGATCTAGGTCATATAGACTCCCCGCTCCAATTTTCTTCCCCCATTTCTTCAGGGACGTAGCGTAGTCTTCTGGATTGTAAATTGGAGGGCGCTGCTTCTCCTGGAAATCAGATAATAATAATAATACAAAAGCTGCTAAGAGAGAAATATATAGAGAAATATATATATAATATTTACAAATAAAGAAGTAATCCATCTGTTATATATCTGAACGACTTGACATATAGAGGTCATTTCGCACAATATGTTTGTTTTGTTGAGACGTTTTACACGTGGTAGAGCCATGTTGCAGCTATATTAATAGTATAGTTGTAGCACGAATGGGTCGGCTCGACCGGGGTAGGACCATCCTCTCACAGAATAACAGCGTAAAAGAGTATCTTAATGCTGCTGTGTTTCTTACGGTGAGTGTAGAGAACCGGAGACCCGTTTTACTGGAAAAGAGGCATTCTACCTTAGTCCTCACGGCTGACAACGCATCTGCATTTTTATTCGCAAACGAAGACAGATGTACATGTCTATGGGCCACAGCAACTACTCACCGTCACGTGGACTGTGCGCTCGTTTGTCACCCTTTTTCTATAAAAAAAAAGGATTCAATAGGTGGTCCACTTGACAGTAAGTGAGTGCTGCCGCTCATGGAAACCTGCTGAAAGATTTAAAGGCTACAGGTGCGTTGTCACCTCTGAGGACATAGATGGAATGTCACACAGAATGTATATATATATTGACTCTATATACCCTTCAGAATGGAACACAGCAGGAGAAGCACTGCTGTTTGGCGGCAGAAATAGGTAATAGAGTAGAATTAGCTATCTAGACCGGTGTTTCCCAAACATTATTCTGCCATGGCCCGGTAACTTTCACACTGTACCTTCGTGACCCACTTAATACTTTTAAACCCAAGCTGGTTCCATTAAGTAAAATAATACACATTTATTAAAAGTAAAAATGTTTTAAAAATGAATATTAACGATGCGTCGATCGATAGTGGGTATTATTTTTAAAACAAGGCGGGAATGTTGTGAACCGGTACCTATTTTATTTTGATGGCCCGGTACCGGGTCGCGACCCGGCAAATGAGAAACGGTGATCTAGACTGACTGCTATGCAGAAAGGGATCCCTACCAAATAATATTCCTATGCTTGATGGGCGAATTACCGATCGTGATTTCAGTCGTTATTTATTTTATCAACTTTTCCATTTTTCAAAATAATTTTAAAGTTTTTCGGATGAAATACGGCCTAGGTCCCTACTGACATTGTTCTCTATCTGTTATCTCTATCTGTCTCTATCTAAAGTTTCATCACAATCAGTTCAGCTTTTCCGAAGATCGGCCCGGACAGACAGACAGACAAAATTTAAAAAAAATGTTTGTCTTTTTTTTCTTTTTTATTTAAGGGACTTTCGTTATTATTAACATGTCAGTCCCATTGTACCTTATAACTAAATAGCACAAACAATTATTTAATTACTTATACAATACTTAATAAATGATAAACCATTTGAGCAGCATCTGACAGTGGTTCAGAGAGTATACTTTAATATTCCCCTATGTTATACATTTTAATGTCAGTTTTGGCGACCAGTAGTTTCCTCTCGTGATGGTTTTTAGAACATTCCGCGAGCAAGTGTTGTATGTCTTTGATTGTGTTGCATGTTTCGCAATTTGGAGATTGTTTCTTTTTCATCATGAAAGCAAACTTGTTACAACAGATTTTCTGTTCAATAGACATGTTTATGTCTTACTTGCATGCGAATAACTCTCTGACCTTATAAAAAGCCATGTATTTCAATATTACAGACAGACAGAGAGACAAACAATGAAAATTAATAACTACTGATCCGAACAATCACAGTTGAATAATTTAAACAGATTCACGACTCTTTTTGCTATTAAATAGGGTTCACGATGTCAATGACCATACTATCGATGGGGGACCTCGGTTCCCCTACGGTTCTAGGGAATTTTATGCGTCATAAAGCATGACATCTTTACAGTGTATTCGTTTAAAAATACACAAAAATACATGTTGGTTAGACATTAGCTTTTATTATTGCCTTGTAGTGGCGGCGTAATGTAATTTGTTCCTCAATATCATCCCGTGTGTCCTAAGAGGTGACATAGGGAAACTGCAACAGGCGATGGGAATTTCAGCAGCAGGCATTTATGCCCTTCTTTGCTTAAAGTTATCCATGAGCAACAATAGCCGCTTATTCTTATTATTATTTATTAAGTTTGATTGTCACTCGAATATTGTAAAATTCAAAATTTTGTACAACCAACTTTCTATGGAGCTTGTATCTTAAATAAAATTACTATTATATTATTATTTACGCTGTTATTCTGTGAGAGCGTGGTCCTTCCCCAGACGATCCGACTCATTAGTGCTACAACCATAATAAAGCTGCAGCCTGGAAAATAAAAGTGTTAAAAAATGTTATCTTTACTATGAAACACTTACGGAATGTTACTCTCAAAAAGTTGATCAACTTTCGTTAATATCTTATAAACATTACAGATTTCATTAATGAATTGCATGAACCATCCAATGGGTAAGTGAAATGTTTTGGTGAGACAGCTTAGTTGATTAATTGCTCTTATTTGTAACCATGTTAACACGCATACTCACAGGCCGATTGCCATACAATAAGTAATAGTATAATGGTATTTTCTACACCTTATAGTCACTCGATCTAAAATGAAATGATGAATTAAAATGGAAATACACTTTAGGCCACTAGCAACATTGATTACGATTTGAGAATGAGTGAATGTTTACGTGTAACAGTTATATTTTTGTAGAAATGATTTTATTAAAATATAATGAAAGAAATGTAGCACAGTTCATTCGGAAGGTAGTGAAAAATATTAAGTCATTATATTGAATTGATTTAAATTGAATAAGATTAAATTAAATTAAAAAGATTAGATAGAATTATATAAAATTAAACTAGATGAGATTAAATTTATTACGAGTATAATGTAAATGTTACTGAAATAAATTGTTTTTTTTTTAATTTATTTCATCAAATCGTCAGAGTGGTGTGTCGGGATCGTGAAAAATGGAAGGCCATAGTCTCTGCCTATCCCTCTGTCTGAAAGGCGTGAGTGCTTATGTTGTCATTTCGTCAAGTCGTTCTTGAGATATTTTAGTAACATACAATTTTTTTTTACTACAGGCTAACGGATGTTTATTACAATAAGGCCTATTGAAAAAAATAATTTTTAACTATTTAGTTGCGTGCGTTTAATTTATTCGCCAAAGTTTCGAGTGAAATGCAGCGATGGGGGACTGAGGTGTTTCAGATACCGATATCAATGTTATAATAATAATAAGTCTTTATTTCGGATAACAAATGAGTTCCATATCAGAGAAGTTAGAAAAATCACAAAATATTAATAATAATACAGCTAAGTGGAAGGAGGAGGCAAACACACACACACACACACACACACACAAACACACGCATACATGTTAACACCAATAACTTCAGCTTTTTAAACATTCATTTTGGTCCGATTATGCAGTTTTACAGCGGTATGTTTGGATTTAATTTTATTAATTACAGCATCCCAAGCATGCGGAAGTACCCATACTCCTTTTCTATTAAAAAAAAAATGTTCTTTAATTTACATAGTCTCACGTATCATCCTTGTTGGGAATCGATGTTATTTCGCGAGGATTTGTGGACTACCAAATCTGATGTAATATCGGATATCCTTCTAGGATATTATCATAGACTGTAGAAGAAGTCAGAAGTCAGACTTGCAGATTGTCTTCCTTCATGTGTTACTGCGGTATTGCAATAATAAAGCCGATTTAATGAGTGGGTAGCGCGACCTCTCCGCTTCGCAATCGAGGTATGCAATGAGTATATGATTCAATACTTTTAGAAATGCGCAAAAGTTAATTTATTATTTAGAAAAAAAAAAGACACGGTATTGGTGAGAAAAACAAATTATAGGAGCGTACTGTTTATAATAGTTAGTATTCGTGAAGAAACAATTATAATATTAAAAAAGGCCAGTGTTAAATTCAATTTGTCTTCGTGATCTCGCTCTCGCTTTCTAAACAGAAGGCTTTTAATTAATTATTAATAAGCAAATTTAAGACAGCCTATTATGAACGTTGTAAATTAAGTGTAGTTAATATGTAATAAAGAGCAAAGTGGATTTTTTAAAAAATTTTTATATATAATAATTTTTTTTAATAATAATAAAGGTTTCATAACGGCCACTACACAACGTTTATAATATTAGTTAAAACAATTTAATAAAAAGGTTTAAAACTGATGTTTTTTTATAGGATCGGGTGACAAACGAGCACACAGTCCACCTGATGGAAAGTGATTGCTGTAGCCCATAGACATCTACATCTATCCTCGTATACGAATCAAAGTGCAGATGAGTGGTCAGCCGTGAGGACTAAGATGGATGCCTCTTTTCCAGTAAATAGCGTCTCCTGTTCTCTATACTCACCATACGAAACACAGCAGCATTAAGCTGCTATTTTACGCTGGTATTCTGTGAGAGCGTGGAGCGCGTCCTTCCCCGTTCGAGCCGGCTCATACGTGCTACTACTATACTATTAATATAAGTGCAGCATGGCTCTATCACGTAAAGTAAAGTAAGGTTAGTTTAAAATAAAAAAATAAAATTAAAATTTAACCTATTAACTTTTGTGTATTATAATTTATAACATATCAATTTAGAATTCAGTCATACTTTATGAATCATCATTCATTCATCATTACAGCCTATCATAAGTCCACTGCTGAACATAGGCCTCCACAAAGGAATACCACAAAGCACGGTCTTGAGCCACCTGCATCCATCGACTTCCTGCATATCTTACCAGGTCGTCACTCCATCCAGGGGGGTCGCCCCACGATACGGCCCTTGAATATTGCCCTTTTTCAAACGAATTCAATAAGGATAAGGTTGAGGATATTGTATTTTTATGTGTGTTACCTCCTAACTTTTTTTAGGTAAACAGATTTTGATGATTATTTTTTATTTGAAAGTTGGTGCTACTGATGTGATTCCATATAAATTTGATAAAGGTCTGATCAGTAGTTTTTGAGTTCTCTTAATA